TGCCTCTTATTACCAGAGGCAGTACACTCTTGTAACTTGAGTGGAGGCTAATGATGTCCTTTTGTTAGGGCCAGGCCTTTTTCCCCCTGATATGCAAAAATATTAAAGCATAAAAATATTTTTAAATCAGTTGCCAAAATATAAAAGTCTGGCACTTGTAGAATCTTAGGAAAAAGATACCAACCTTCCCAGAGAGGTGGAGCAGCCTAGAACTTTCAGCTAGGAGAGCCTAGAACTTTTGAGAACAGGAGCTCTCAGAGGACTTCAAAATCACCTGGCCCAAGCTCCTCCATTTATGTTTGAGGACTCTCGTGAGAGGGCAGAGTCTTGTGTGTGAGGTTACCTTCTTCTGTGGCTCCCATCTCTGCCAAGGGTGGCAGGGCATCTCCTGGGCGGCAGGCAGGCAGGAGGCCTTGTGGTGTTGCTGACCACTCCTGACCCTTGCCCCTGTGCTGTCTCAGACTGGAGCTGCATCTGACGGAGGCTGGCCAGATCCAGAGTCTGGGATCTGAATACAGTGTATCCACCAGGTCAGGGGGGGAGAGCAGAGAAGCCCTTGAGAACAGATGGTCACAGGAAGTACCTGGCATAGGGGAGAAACTAAACAGTGTGTTTTGAATGAATGTATGTATGAATGAATCAGTAAGTGATTGTGATGGTCTTAGTGAATAAGAGCCTGGATCACACCTGGGACCTGAGTCTTGGCTGTGCCGCTGAAGCCGACACCCCTCTCAGGGATGCTGTACCCACTGCGCACTCATGTTCTTAGCAGCATTATCCACAACAGCCAAAAGGCAAAAGGACCCAAATGTTCATCAGTGGATAGATCGATAAACACAGTGGAGTATTACATACAATGAAATATTATTCAACCTAAAAGAGGTAGGACGTTCTGGGACTTGCTACAACATGGATGAATCTTGAGGACACTATGGTAATTGAAGTAAGCTAGTCACAAGATGGCAAATACTGCATGATTCTACTTATATGAGGTACTTAGAACAGTCACATACATAGAGACCAAAAGTAGAACGGGGGTTGCCAGGGGCTTGGGTAGGAGGGACTGGGGACTTATGGTTTAATGGGTATAGAGTTTCAGTTTTGCAAGATGAAAAGGGTTCTGCAGATGGTTGGTGATGATGGTGACCCAACAATATGCTTTAATATCACTTCCTAGATGGCTCAGTGGTAAAGAAACCTGCCAATGCAGGAGACTCAGGAGATGCAAGTTTGATCCCTGGAGGAGGAAATGGGAGCTCGCTTCAGTACTCTTGCCTGGAAAATCCCATGGACAGAGAAGCCCGATGGGCTGCAGTCTATAGGGTTGCAAAGAGTCGGACGCTGAGTCACTGAGCATGAGTGATATTACTGAACTGTATCTTAAAAATGGTTAAAATGGTAAGTTTATATTAAAAGTACATAACAATCAATTCTATTAAGAAATAATTTTATTCTCAAGTAATGGGAAAGAATAGAGGAGGATCAGAATCATCAAGTGTGACTGAATCCATGGCTTTGTCTCTTGGAACAATGATGACCAACGATGGTGTCATCTCAAAAGCCAACATTCCTTCCCACTCAACAAAAAATCCCAAGAGCAGACAGTGTTTATTCCAGTTTGGGTCATATGCTTATCCAATCCTTGAACCAGTCCCTGTGCCCAGGGATGCGATACTCTGGTTGGATGGAGCTAAGTTTCAGGCCCTCCTGAAAGGAGGGCAGGGGACATCTGGGCACCCCAACAGGGGCTTCCACAGTGGGTAAAGAGACTGGATCCCAAGGAGGACCTAATAGCAGAGAAGATTGGAAGAGAAAATCTGTCTTCTTGCTTCAATCAGAGCTGCAGAGGGTAGGGAGAGGAGAAATTCCAGGGCGGCGTGAGCCAAGGAAAATTTAGAAGAGACTCAGGAGTGGCCATGGGGTCCTGACACCCAGCAGAAGTCCCCTTGATGGCCAAACAGGGGCTCAGGCAGAGAGCACTGCTAAGCAGAGCACAGAAGCTCTGCAAAGACAAGTCATGCTTACACACCACAGCCCAGTGACCAGCCCGGCCTCCACCCTGCCCAGGACCTGAGGTCAAGAGGGAGCTCTGTGCAAGTGACAAGGCAGGCAGGCCTGATGCCACTTGCATTTCCAGGAAGGCCAGTGACGACTGTGCTTTATGAGATGTCTGGAACTTTCCAATTCCCCCAGCTGGCTGCTCCTTGGGCAGTCAGCAGCGACTCCCTTAAAACATGGAGAAAGTAGGCAAGCCTGTTGGAGGACTTTAAAGAGGGCCAGGAAGTCAGCAAACCCTACTGAGCTCCATATTCCAGAGATGGAGGAAGAGGGACCAGGAGGAAGAGGGGGTGAAGTGACTGGAAGTGAGGGATGGGTCCACTTCTCTCTTTGGAGGTGAGTGGGCCTTGGGGTGAGCCTGGGAGGTGGCAGCTGGCAGGAAGTAAGGGGCACTGATTGAGGAGCCCACAGCCCTGGGTTTGAATCCACTACTTATTGGCTGTGTGAATTTTGATGTTACCATTGCTCTGAGCCTTGGATTTTTCTACCTGTGAAATCTACCTACGGGTTGCTGTGAGCCCTGAATGAGATCAGATCATCCCAGGCAACTAGAGGTTAGGCATCTGTGTTTTTGCAACAGAGCAGTTTCCCATTTGCATGTCACGTGTTTATTTCCACAAAGTGCACTTGGTTCAGTTCGATTCCCTTATCTTTCTCCTAACAGATTGCAGAGCTGCTGAGAAAGATCTCATCTGTTCACAGTCTACCTTCAAAATACACAGGTAAGAAGCCAGACCCAGAATGTCTTCTCTTTAAATACAGTAACAGTGGGTGCAAAGCCAGGCAGTGACACAAGCATTCTGCAGGGAGTTGCGAACGCAAACACAAGATGGAGAAAGCAAAAATAGATAGATTCGAAGGATGGGCTAAGAAACTTAATTTTTTCTTTAGAGGCTATACCTTGAGATATTTTAAAATAGCAAGTGTCTCCATTATATAGTTGTGTATTTAAAAATTACATATGTATTTTCAATTATATATATATTTTAATTTGGCTGCACCAGGTCTTAGTTGTGGCATGAGGGGTCTTTGATCTCCCTTGTGACATGTGAACTCTTAGTTGCAGCATGCGGGATCTAGTTCCCTGACCAGGGATTGGACCCAGGACCCCCACACTGGGAGTGAGAAATCTTAGCCACTGGACCACCTGGGAAGTCCCCTAAGAAACTTAAAAGGGGAGGTACCCTCCAGAGAATAAGAAAATTATGATACTCTGCAGGGGCAGATGTATGATTCTACTAATACTAATACAGTGTATCTAGAGTAGTCAGACTCAGAGACAGAAAGGAGAGTGCCAGGTCTTGGGAAAAAGGGGGAAGTGGGGAGTTATTAATGGGTTTCAGAATTTCAGCTTTGCAAGATGTAAAGAGTTCTGGCGATGGCTGATGGTGACAGTAGCATGTGGTGTGAATATAATTAAAGACACTCAACTGTACACTTCAAAATGGTTTAAATGGTTCATTTTATGTTATGTATATTTTATATGAAAAAAATTGGAAAATTTTTGTGGGCTTTCTGGGGGCAAACTGGTGGCAGGGTTGAGGACAGAGCAGGAGGAAGTCAGAGAGATGGCATAGTTTTTGGTTTTGTCTGTATGTTTTGTTTTTGGCTGTGCCACTTGGCATATGGGATCTTAGTTCCCTGACCAGGGATCAAACCTGTGCCCTCTGCAGTGGAACCATGGAGTTCTAACCACTGGACTGCCAGGGAAGTCCCAGGGCATAGTTGTTATAGATGATGCTACCACCAGGGAAACATCCCTAGTTTCCTTTTAAAGGAACTTTCCTTTAAAGGACCTTTTGAAAACAGGACAATTTTATACTGACCATGAAGCTTTTTGCTGGATTCACAGAAAATCCCCACCCAGTCCCTGTTCTTGATTGAAGCCTGCTGAGCAAAAGTTTTGTGTGAAAGGGGTTCCCTGAATTGACATCGGGAGAATGGCAGCGGTGCTGGAAGTGTAGAATGGAGCCACAACCTGTGGACGGAACCAAGTCAGTAGAAGCAGGAGCTCAGAGCCATAGTGACCATGACATTGTAAATACTCAATGCCAATACCCCCAGCCACAACCAAGAAGTCTGCAGAAATCTCAAGGAAGACACTGGCTTCCCAGAGAGTCAGGGCCATCTTCTCTATATCTTAAAGGACAGAGATACCCCAGCTGCATCTGGGTCATATTTATGTAATATCCCTTTCCTTTTTGATTTTGTCAACCACATGGTGCTAACTCTATGCTTGTCCTGAATGTAAGTCCAACTTTTGGTGCGGGTTACTATTCATAGGCAGCAGAGTCCAGCAGATAGAAGCACGATTCTAGAAGCAGATGTGTTGTGTTTGGATTCTCACTTTATTATGTGGCCTTGGGCAAGCTGATGCACCTTTCTGACACTCAGGTTATTCATCTAGAAAATGAGAGTGATTCTCTACCTCCTAGGGTTTTGGGTGAGCATCAGATACAGAACCACATATAAATTTAGTACGTACAACAATACAGAGTGTTCATCAGTAGCTAGTACTTTAGTCCTGCCCCAATGTCTGGTAGGAATTCAGTCGTTGCTATGGATGAGTCTTCTAAAGTGGCCTGTGAGTTCCCCACCTCTGTGCTAATCTGCCCAGAGCCCTGTGAGTTCTGACCCAGGGGTGAGCACAGCCCTGTCCACCCCTTGACCTTTGATTCTGTGGAAGCAAACAGAAGCAGGGAAGCCCCACACAGGGAGGCTTTCTCCAAGGGAATCGGGTTGGTTTGGTTCAGCTCATCCCCTTTCCCGGAGCAAACTACATAAGCACAGACCTCCTGCTGATGGGAGAGTGGAACTGTCCTCTTAAGGGGAAGACAGTAGTTTAATGGGCTCCACGTGATAGGAAAACCAGTACTGCTGTTGAGGACTTAGGGACGGAGTCTTCGAACTCAGGGGTTTTTCTTGAGGGAGGCGCAAACTCCTCAGCTCTCTGCCTTTGCTGCCTTCTCTTCTGGGTTCTGGCTGGAGTGCACGCGAAGAACTTGAGCTTTGCCAATGTTCTCTGGAATGGGGAGGGGGGACACAGCAGGCAGGAGACTGTGAGGGAGCTGCTCAGGAGATCTGGGGAGACCCCTGCTCCCCGCTCCAGGCCCCAGTGCCCAGGTCAGGCCAGGCTTCTGCTCAGGCTCCCCGGTCACCTGGGAGGGACTGACTGCCTTCCCCCAGTCTCACCTCCACCCTCTTCTACATCTGGGTGTCACTACTACATCCAGGTCACAGATGTCTGCTCAGTACCTACTCTGTGTCAGACACTGCTCTGGCACACAGGACCCCTTACCGTCCGGGGGAGAGCAGTGTACATCAAGAATGCCTGTCTTCTCTCCCTGCAAGCTTCCTCCCTTCACCCTCCTGCCCTGGTCTAAAGCACCCCTTTCCTCCCTTGTCCCCCTCATCCCCCCTGGACCTCCACAGTCCATTCTCCACACGGCCACCTGAGGGGTCCCCCCATGCCCCGATAATCCTCCCGTGGACCCCATGCCCCTTCCGTGAGACCACACGCCTGACCTTCCCTGGGGGCTGGCCCTGCCCACCTGTCTCACTTCTTACCACAGTTCCCAGCCCACTAGGGTCTGGCCGCCCTGGCCTGCCTGCCTGCTCTTTCACCGTCACACCTGGCAATGGAAGCCTTGTCGCAGGCTTTCCCTTGACCCACAGAGGGTTGGATCCTTTCTGCCTCTTGGCTCAAGGGATCTTCTCCATGCCCCCGCCATCCCCCACTCACAGTCCTTCTGACTCTCCTATTGCCCTGTTATTTCCCGTATGGCACCGTCTCCCTCAGGTGTCTTTGTGGTCTGCACGTCTCTCTGCATGTAAGCTCCAAGGCAGCGGAACCCATCTCTGAATTCTCCCCCAGTGATCCCCAGAGGCTAGCACCTGGGTACTAACTAAGGATCTGCTGAATGGATGGATGGATGGATTAAATGAGCAGCTTCTTTGGGCAGGGGCCCATCTCTAGAGCGGTCCTTGAATCCCCCAAGGGATCTAGCCGTGGTGGGCTTCAGTGAGCCCCCCAGTGCCCTGCTCTGGGGACTCTTACCTGGTTGTTCGCTTTTTGATAGAGATGGTGTCTTCATCTTCTTCGGGGATTGGCTAAAACCAACACAAGGAGAGATAGGAAGGTCAGGCTGGAGCCAGATAGCCAGCTGAGTGACAGGGCAGGCGGGGAGGTGGGGAAGGTGCCCCTGGGAAAGGCAGAAGAGTCAGCAGGTATCTGTCCAGGGATGGCCCCACCCTGAGCAGGACCCCCAACAACTGTGGCACCATTGCTCACTGTGGCCACAAGGAACCCAGGCCCTTCTCCAGGGAGATGCAAGAAAGGCCACTGCACTGGCCTTCCCTTGGCCTGCTGCTTTCCTGTAGATGGGAACCCTAGTGAGCCCTAGTGAATTACTGACAAGCATGGATAACGCCCCTATCCTGTATAGGCTCTGCACTTCAGCAAGCCTTTTGATGCACCCAATGTAGTGTTTCTTCTCTATGACTTTAGGAGAGGGGGTTTTTGAAAGAGTAAAACTGAGACTCACAGATGGGAGGTGGCTTGCCCAAGATCACTGTGAAATTGCCTTACCATTGGTCTCAAGGTAAACAAGAAAACCAAGTTTGGGGCCAGAGCAAGCACCTGTACCCTCAACACATTCAAACCAGCACTGCACCCCGCCTCCTTCTTCCGGGCTGCCCAGTCTCCAGCCACTCCCAAATTTCACATTCCCTATTGCTTTGAAGTCCTGGCTTTCCCAGCCCTCCTCACTCCTGACTTGCCCTACTCTTGCATTTGCTTGTTCAAAATACACATCTCCATGTTCACCCCCACTCTACTATGTGGCAATCTCTGGGCATCTGCCTCTCCAAACAGCTCCTCAGTGACTCTGAGTGCTGCTGGGCTGGGAAGTTGGATAAGCCTGAGTCTGCATGCATGCTAAGTCACGTCAGTCTTGTCTGACCCTTTGTGACCCCATGGACTATGGCCTGCCACGCTCCTCTGTCCATGGGATTCTCCAGGCAACAATACTGGAGTGGGTTGCCATTGCCTTCTTCAGGGGATCTTCCCAACCCAGGGATCGAACCCTTGTTTCTTATGTCTCCTGCATTGGCAGGTGGGTTCTTTACCCCTAGCGCCACCTGAGAAGCCCATGGCTGAATATGAGTCCCAGCTTTTCTGCTGCCCACCCGGGTGACTTTGGGCTGTCATTCAACTGTCCTGAGCCTCAGTCTTTTTATCTGTAAAATGGGAAGCCATACTGCCTCCATGGGTGGCTGCATGGACTAGAAATGTGTTAAACACCCAGCCAGGTCAGGTACACACAGTGGACACTCAGGATCGCTGGTCCCATGGCTGACCCTCAGGCCCCACTGCCCTGCTGTGTGTAGCCTCCCCTCATCTTCCCCTTGCCCAGCTTGCCACTAATCCTTCTTTCAGCCATCTGGAGGACTTAGTACCAGCACAAAGTTGCTCCTGCTTGCCTTATGTTACCCTTCCTTCTCTGCTTGTGTCTTCCCAAGGCCCAGGAGCTACTGGAGAGCTTGATGTGTGTGGCTTATCCAGCTCTGTTTTGCTACAAGTGACACAGGTCACTGCACCCCCCCTCCCCCATCCCACCGCCATATCCTCCACAGCAGGCCTCTGGAGTCTGGACTGGCAGAGAAAGTCTCTGAGCCATCAGGTGGCACCAGGGGTCCCAGGGAGAGCAGGGCCTCTTCCTTTAGTGCAGGCACAGGCAGCCCAGGCTCTGGCCTCCTTTCCCGGGCCTCCTCGGGCCACACTTGGGCAGACAGGTGGCTGAATATGAGGGAGCAGTTCCGGGAACAGAGGGGCAGGTGAGGGGTATGACACCCACCTGTAGGGTAGCTGGGGCCTCTCTTGAAGTGAGTCTTGAACTTCCAGGAGCTGGCTCAGGAGTTTTTCTGCTGGGATGGACACTGGGGGTTGGGGAAGGAGCTGAGCCACCGCGGTCTGCAGGAGCCCTAGTGCCATGTCTTTCTCTGTAAGCACAGCCGAGGTGGGGGGGAGAATGCTTAGGGGCAAGACCTCGGCCCCCTAGCCTGCTGCTGGATGGGGTGGGCAGGAGAAGGGCCTCCACCTCTTCTGCCCCACAGGAGTCCATGGGGAGTGCCATGCATCTCTCTGGCCCCTATGTGTGCAGCATGCCTCAGCCTTCCACACCTTTACACACCTGCTCATGTGTACCTTATTCTTGGTTTACCTGCCATCACACCCCCTGGCCCTCTGGGAAGTCTGCTGGGGGCCCGCCTTCCTCCCATTCCTCCTCCCCTCTGGTCCAATCAGCTCTCTGGCTCTCGTTCCTCACTCCTCTACTTAGATACACTCTCCACTCACCATCCCAGTGTGTATGTGTACATCTGTTCACGTGTACACATGTGTGTGCTCCTATGTGTGTGTATTTGCATGAATGTGTATATCCATTCATGTGTACACATGTGTGTGTGCTCTTACGTATGTATATTAGCATGAATGTATGTGTCCATTCATGTGTACACATATGTGTGTGCTCTTACGTGTGTGTATTTGCATCTCTGTGCATGTGCGTTTCCCACAGTGGTGGATTAAGGTCTGTCTGTCTCCCTCCCAGGGGGTGAATCCTATGGTCAGCATGGAGGAGGGTTCGCTCATAAGGAGCAGTATCATAGAAACCCTGTGGAGGAATGTGGAGGAGAGGGCAGTGACGTTGTCTAGCTGGAAAAGGTTAGTTTGTGGCTCCAAAAAGGAGGAGCAGCCCCTGTGTAAGGCCATGGGACAGGAGCCCAGTGACATCTGAGTCCTGCAGAACCAGAGGACACGGCCCTCAGCAGCCTCCACTCAGATAAGGACCTGGGCCCAGGACGGTGTCCTCACCCTTGGCGGGCGCGTAGAGTAACCAGAACTGGATAGCATTCAAGGAGTCTGTCTGCAGAATTTGTGAAAGCAGTTCCAGGATCTGTGGGCAGGAGGACAGGCCTGGGTCAGCGTGGCAGGACAGCATGTTCTAGCCGGCAGCACAGCCCCTCCCCATAAAGTGTTCTCTCCCCACATCCTTGGCTAGACTGGCCCCCACGATGGTCCCTGCCTACCCTCTGCGTGGACTTTACACTTTGTAGAAAGCTTTCTCTGCCAACAGCCCTGGAGGAAGGTTCTTCACCCCCTTCCTGGACAGATGAGGGATCTGAGGAGGACACCTGGCAGAGATGCTGCGGCAGAACGAAGCCTCTGAGTCAGTTTCTTGGACCCCCCATCCCTGAGCCCTGTGTGGTTGTACCCCAAGGTCCCTCACTGGGAAGGGGAGGTCAGAACGGGCCGTCAGCTCCTCAGAGACGCACCGAGTCCCGATTGCCTGGGTCCTTGGTGTGGGAATTTCAGGGACCTCACGGGCCTCCCCTCCCTGAAGCGCCCGAGCTCAGAGTCTGGAGATGTTAGCAAAGAGGTGGGCTGGTCCCTGTGGACGGCTTCAGGGCTGTAGCCAGCAGGTTCTGTGCACCACTTAATCGGCAGCCCCTTCCCGCCCAGGGCTGGGCTGTCTTCGCTCCCAGGGGCCTCCTCAGCCCACTCAACCCCCCACATCTTTGCTACTTCAGGGCCCTTCCCCCACTGTGTCCTCCAGTAAAGGGTCCGCGGCAGGAGATCCAGGCCTGTCTGAGGAGGGCTACGGGGGCTCCCTAGGCTGGGCTGCTGGCGGTGGCGGCGGCAGCCACGTAGAGCTGGGGCCTGCAGTGGGTGGTGGAGCTCCTGGAGTCCTAGGAAAGTGGGGTCCCCTCAGTGTTTGGCGGCCAGTGTCCCCAGGTCTGCCATGTCTGTGGCAGAGTGGAAACTGGGCCAGGCCTCGCTCCAGGCCTCCGCCTGCTAGGCTGTCCCACCTCTCCCCCGGGGAACCCGCCTGCTGAGGCGACCCCCACCCCCCATCGGCCTGGGGCTCTCCTCCGTTCTCCGCATCCAACTTACCTGCCCTGTGCCCCCTCCCCACGGGACCCGAGAACCTACTTCCAGGCAAGGTGAGGCCGCCCTATGGTGGAGAAAGCACTGTGTTTGAGCCCCTGCCAGGCCGCTCCTTCTCTGGGGACCTGGGCCATGGGCCATCACCCGGCAGGGCCTCAGCCTCCTCATCTGTGGGGTGGGAATCCCTGCCCTGTCTGATCTGTCTGTTCCCCGCGTTGTCGTAAGGCTCCCAGGGGGCCGCATGCTGTAAAGCGCTGGTCACGGGGCAGGGGTCAAGATGCCGCCACAGCCTGGCCTCTCCTGGAGAACACGTGCACCTCTGAACAGAGACTTGCACTGCCTTGCCCACTGGCATGAGTCCTGCATGCCTCGCAGGCCCTAATGGTAAACTCGAACACAGAGGAGGGGTCTTTATGCTCCGCTGCAGCACAGACCAGACCCCTCCAGAGTGTGGGGACCTGGCTGGGACCAGCCTTGCAGGCTGTGGGGGCAACCCACTGGGTGTGGTGAGGATGCACCGGGCAGGACCTCCACCTCCATGCTTCTCATTCCACCACTGTGGCTCCCTTCCTTAACTCATCAAGTACCACTGCGGGGCCAGACCTTGTGGTAATGCATCTGTTGTTCCAGTTTGACTAAATGATAGAACTAAGGTCCCTAGAACGGAAAAGACTTAAAGATGGAAAGGCTCACACAGAAATCTAGAGGCAGCTGGGGATTGGAATCCAGGCTCCTGACTCCCAGAGCTGGGGTTTTTGAGTCTTAGGGTCTCAGGGACAAGACCTTCTCCCTGGGAGAAGCAATACTTGAAAGCACTTTGCAAAGGTCCTAGTTGGATCCCCGCGAGCCTGGGAGCAGGTTCCACCAAGTTCTCTGCCCTCAGATGAGGGCCTCCATAGGGCCCACAGCCCCCAGCCTTCCCAGAGCCTCACCAGCAGCTCCTGATCCTGTAGGAGGAAGGTCTGGTCTCCTCCGTCTCTGCTTGCAGGCTGGTTTCGGCCCTGGTGGGAGTGGCGGCGGGCCATGGCCCGGGTAGAAGCAGGGATGAGCCTGCCAGTCTCTGCTGAGTACTTTGCCCCCTGTTCCCGCTGAGGCTCCTTCTTCTGCTAGGGAAAAATGTGGCCAGAGACTCCAGGCAGAGAGGGAGAAAGAAGAAAAAGCAGAGGGGGAAAGGTGAAAAGAAGAGGAGGCGGCCAGGGACCCAGGATGTCAACCAGGCCGGCCTCAACCTGTCTTAGACCCCCCACTCACCAGTGGAGGCAGCCCTTCCTTTATAGCCATTGCTCTTCCTCCTGGAATTTTATTGAAGGTCGGCTGCCCTCACCCCCATGGTCCTCAGTCCTGCCTGGGTAGGCCCTCCTTCAGATCCCTCCCCTCAGCCCATCAGAGATTTGAAAATAGTATCCTGTACCAAGACCCCCACTACCTTCCTTAATTCTTAGCTCAGCTGCCCCCAAACCTGTCCCCCACAGCTTAGCATCCTTTATTTGCCCTGGAAAACCTTCCTGAGCCAGGTGGGCACAAGGCCTGGGACCTCCTGCCCCTGGAACTCCAGTTAAGACTGGTAGTATCCTTCTCCCCATTATATTTATTTTTAATATTTATTTATTTGGCTGTGCTCGGTCTCAGTTCTGGCTTGGGGAATCTTTTAGTTGTGGCTTGCAAACTCTTTAACTGGGATCTTCCTGGACCAGGGATTGAACCCGTGTCCCCTGCACTGGCAGGTGAATTTTTAACCACTGGACCACCCATTTTAAAGATAAGAAAACTGAGGCCCAGAGAGCTTAGCTGAGTTACCCTGAGTGTTACAGCGAGTTAGCTGTGGAACGAGAACGAGAACTCTGCTGCCCAAGACAAGGGTAGGACCAGTCTCGGCCAACAGGGCCCAGGCCTGTCCTGGGACCAGTTCCAACTACCTTCATGCTGCCTCCTACTTGTCTTTACTGGTTTATCAGCAAATAGCACTCAGGCTACCCCCAACCTCTCTGAAATCCTTCAGTGATTCTCCACCCCTTTGTCAGGTAAAACAGGAAACTAAGTTCAGAAATGAGAAGCAAGCTGATCTTGCCCACATCCAAAGTCGGCCCCCCTCCGACAACTCTCTCACTGCTGCCCGCTTATCTCCTGTACTTTTAAACCCTCCATTTTCTAAGACGATGTCCTGGATTTTCTAGCTTGCGAAAGAACATCTGTGCCAGATGCCTCCACCAGGAACGCCTCCCCCTGTCCTCTTCTAAACTATGAACCCTTCCTGGATTTCTCCACCAGGGACATTGTGTCCTCTGAACCCTCACTGTGACCCTGTCTCTTGGGTTATATTCAAGGACCCCTCCCCTCTGCCAACAGCAGTGCCTCCCACCCTCCTGAGAAGGTTTGCTCTGTGCTAGTGTGGTTGGAACCACGTGGGAGCGATTTAGTTACAAAGGAGTGGGCCCATTTCATTTCTTCTTGGACAGCTCCTTTGTTCTGCACCCACCTCCTTGCTCTTCAGCTCACTCTCCTTGGTGAAGATGGCCACCTGGGAAGCCAGGTCCTTCAACTCCTTCTTCCAGGCCTCTGGGAGGAGGGGGCAAGATCTGGCCAACTGATCCCTGGGGTCTCCCCGTGCACCCTCCCATTGTGCTGAGTGTGGAAGGGTGATAGGTGGAAGAGCCTCCTCTCCTCCCTGCCCTCCCACCCAGCATCTTAAAGGGAAGGGCATTTTCACAGGGCACGTGGTGCCCTTGAGGGAAGGAGCTGGAATCACACTATTGGTGGATGGGTGGGTGTGCTTGCTGCTGACATTTGTGTTCCAGCTTGTGTCTTAACTGGGAAATGCTGGAGAATGTTTGGCTACATGTAGCGAGATATTTGTGATTTAGACTAGCTTTGCCTCTTTTAGGAAAATGAAGCCAGGGCAGAGATTTGGTCGATAGGCTGTGCTAGTTGCTACAACACTGAGCAGCTCCTGGCCAGGTTGGTAAAGGGCACTGCAGGAAGCCTTCTGGGCCCCTCTGCCCCTTCTCCAGGGTCCTCCCTGCTCTTCAGGGAAAGAGAGAGGCTTGGCCCAAGTGGAGGCCTCTGAAATGCTGCCCCAGCACTCTCTGTGGCTAACTCTCCTGACTGGCTGGGGCCTGAGCACACAGGTTACAAAATTCAGTATTTCCAATACTGTTCCTGGCTAGAGCTGGAAGTCACATGTCTGTTGCCCAGATCTGTTTGTCCTCTGCTTGTTCTGACTCCTCAGATACTTCAGATCCAAGTAGGGGTGCATTCCCGAGTGCTGAGGACCCCCACCCAAGAGCCATGGCCTTTTCCTTCTCAGGCACCTGCCCAAGCCAGGCAGCCCTTGGGCACAGGTACAGCCCCAAGGTAGAGGGCCCCAGTACCCACCAGAATAAAGTCGGGGGTCCCGATTGGACTGCGGGTCTCCAACAGGCACTGAGATGGTGGGCATCCTGATCAGGTAGCTGGGTAAGAGTGTGGCTTGAGGGGAGGTGGCCAAAGCGAGCTCGTCCCTGACGACACAGACAGGCTTCCCGGTGAGATCTGTTAAGGGTTGGAGGCAGTGGGAAAGGGGACCTGGCTGGACCCGAAGAACTCCAGGGAAATGGGAGGAGGCTGGTGGGCAGGGAAGCACTCAGCCCCACTTCTTCCAGTAAACACAACCCCAGAGGTGGCTAGGGCTGGGAGGGCCTCTCAACAGCTCTGACCTTACCCCTGGAGACACTTCGCATGGCAGCGAAAGGATGGGCTCAGGGTCACATAGTGAGACTGGCCGAGAGGAGATGAGAACCCGGGATACCTGGGACCCTCATCTGGGGGTCCCGCTGGTTTTCTGTGACAGGGTAACGACGTGCAGGTGTGAGCGCACAGACTGTGTGGAGCACACAGAGGCAGGAGCTTCAAGAAGAGGAGTGGGAGCAGGGCATTAAGCCACAGTCTGTGGCGAGAAGGGCCTGGGCTCAAGCCACAGGGGCCGAGACCCTCTGGATAAAACTTCATGCCATCGGTCAGCCTTGCAGGTCTGAGTGCATGGCAGCCTGGGGGTGGTGAGAGACAGTTTACATGTGAGGAACCTCCAGTCTAAGGTCTGTGTGGGACCATAGCATCATTGGCTTCCCAGGTGGCACTAGTAGTAAAGAATCTGCCTGCCGATGCAGGAGACGAAAGGTACGTGGGTTTGATCCCTGGGGTCAGGAAGATCCCCTGGAGGAGGGCATGGCACTCCAGTATTGCCTGGAGAATCCCTTGGACAGAGGCGCCTGGTCGGCTACAGTCCATGGGGTCGCAAAGTGACTGAAGTGACTTAGCATGTATGCAATGGCATCGTTAGATGGTTAAGCTTTGGGGAGCAGCATGGTTAGGACTTAACCGCAGTGTCTCACTCTCTCCTCCCGGAACTCTTTCGTTTGGTGCCAGGACCCCTCTCTCTCCCAGGTCCTCCTAGCTCACCAGTCACTGCTCTGCTGCTTCCTCTTCATCTCCCCAACCCCTTAACCTTGGGGTCCCCAGATTCATGCCAGGTTCTCCTCCCTGGCCTCTCCAGGGTCCTGTGATGACCCCCATCCAGCACACCTCTTCAAACACCACTCCCATTTGAGTAGCTCTCACATTTGCATCTCTGCCTGAAACTGACGCTACTGCCTACTTGGCACCTCCCCTCGGGCTTCCCCACCCCGCCTTCCCTTGGACTTCTAAGAGGTATCTCACATGCTGCATTTCCCAGCATCTCAGACCAAACCCTGAACCTTCCCATCCTCCACTGGCCCTGTCTATAGGCTCCTCTGTCTTAGTCAGCGCAAACTCAATTTTCCAGTTTCTCAGACCAAACACCTGGGAGTCAGCTTGACTCTTCTCTCCGTCTCATACTCCATTTTTAATCCATCGCCTTCTGTATCTCTCTAGAGCAGGGTCACTAACTCCTCCACTGCTATCTCCCTGGTCTGAGCCACTGTCCATTCAGAAGCCAGCAGAGCCCTTCTCTTACTTCTTTGCTCTCAACACTCTGATGGTTGCCATCTGACTCAGTGAGATGCCTTAAGGATGACCATGGTGAGCTCCAAGGCCCACCCAACGTGGGCCCCGCTGCCTCTAATGTGTCTCACTTCTCCTCCTCCTCATTCTGCTTCAGCCACAGCCACGTCCTCACTATTCTCCAACAGGAGGCTCTTTCTTGCCTGGGGGCCATTGTCCCGGCTCTTCTGTCTGCCTGGGACATCTTCCCCCTGAGATCCACATGGGTTATGCCCTGTCTTCCTTTAGTCTTTGCTCGAGTATCATGCTGTTGGTCAGGCCTTGGCTCTGTATATGGCCTTGGCACTTCCGATCTTCTGACACCTTATCTGTTTCCTGTTCTTCCCCACTAAAGTTCGGCTCTGTGAGACCAGGGACAGTCTGTCTTGCTTGGTCATAATGCCAGGACCTAAAACGTGCCCGACTCATAGTTCACACTCATTAGATCTTTGATGAACAAATAGCTGAGTGGATGAAATGGCCTGAGTCAGAGAAGAGAGCACAGCTCTGGAGCAGAATATATTCAGCCCTTTCTCTGATTTGTAAGGTGGGGGAACGGCAGTGATGTAAATCCTGCAGGGCTCTGCAGTCTGCCCTTGGAATCCTCACCCTGCCCCAGGTAGGTCTTGGCTTGGCCAAGAGTGGCTGGATCCTCCCTTTCTAGCGGCCCCCCGACCCCCACCATCAGGCCCTGGCCTACCCCAGCCCTACCTTGGATGTGGGTCACGTGCTGGGGCTGGGGGTGGTGCCTGGAGAAGAAGAAGTGGTGGCTGAGGCGACCGAAGCGGTAGGCACTGGGGGTTTGGGGCTTGGACCTCCTCACTGCCTCTCGGATCAGCTTGAAATCCACGGTCCCTGGGATCGTCAGTTCTTTCTGTGGCCCGCTGTCCCCGTGGCTCCTTGGCTGGCACCCCGACTTCTTTTCCAGTTTCGGCTCAGCCTTTGAGCTAAAGGAGAGGACCAGGGAGAAGCAAATGGAGCCCGAGGTAGCGGTTCCCACCCGAGCTTATGGGAGTCCATTCCTGAGATATTCTGAAAACTGCTTAACAGATTCCACCATCACCCCCATGGCGCTAGAGCCAGGCCTCCCCCAGGGTCCTTTCGCAGCCATGCCATTCAGCCCTGAGGAACTTTCCATCTTCCTATGATGCCTGAGTAGAGAGCCAGGATCCATCTGAGAGAACTCAGATGGAATCTCCCAGCACCCCAGTTTTCTCTCAGAGACCATTTCCGAAGCCAGAAGGAGAAGCCATAGACCCACCTCCTCATCCAGATACCTGCATTGGAGTAAAGGTACATTATGTACACCTCCAGGGCCAGGGGGCTGACCCTAGCATGGGCCTCTCCCCAAGCCAAACAGTTGGCGGCCCAGGAGAAGCCAGCTATAGGCTGTCACCCGACCCCCCCTTGCCCTCATGGGCAGTTTTGGCCCAGACTCAGCATCCAGGAGCTGATACCAAAGCCAGACTGGGCCAGCCAGTCCTCTTCCTGTGGGGCCCCCCCTGGGAGCTGCAGAACTAATGGGCTGGCTATCTGGGCTGCGTCGCTGTGGAGAAGCTTCAAGCTCTTGCTTCGCTTCGCTTCGCTTCACTGGAGACAAGCGTCTCAGGTTCTCCATTCCTCTTCTGAGGATGCTGTGCCTCCCCCCAGAGGAATGGGTGGAGTCAGTCCAGCAAGGATCCAGGGGTGGGCTGCTCTCCTCCAGGGACCTGGATGGGCCCACCTGCCTGCTCGCTGTCTGCTTCCCCTTCTGGTGGCCCTGGCTGAAGGGAGGCCCTCTGGAGGTGTGTAGGTGGACTCTGGATGTGCTAAGCAAGGCATTTTGCCTCGGGGCCCTCTGAGGATTTCGCTGACCAGGCCCCTGAGTTTCCTGTTCCAGCCTCAATTTGCTTCTAGGGGATCTGGGACTTAAAGAAATAAAGTAAACCTTCCCTGAATGTCACGGTTAGTTGATCTCCCCTGCCCCCAACTAACAGTGGAAGTCACCCCCTGAAACCCCTGGAATGTTTATGCTCCTGCCCCGAGCTACCACACCCACTCCCGACCCAGGAGGGGCCCTGCCTGGGATGTGTTAACTCAGGCCTGAGAACCCACTGGGCGCCTGACTGATAGCAGAGGGAAGGTGACCTCCACTTGGACCCTCGGTCTGTTGAGTTCTTTTGTATTCTACCCTACCAGCTCCCTCCACCTCCTCCGTCAGCAGGGAAGGCATTGGGGACCTTACCTTGGCAGTGAATGCTCTGCCAATTGGGCCCTCACTTCTGTAGCCATTGGGGAGCCTCTAACAGAGTAAAGACTGGTGCTGTTAATACAAGTGTTGAAGATGCATAACAGGAACAGACACTTTAGGGGAAAAATTGGCAATATCTTATAAAATTGAACATTTGCATGCCACGTCCCAGTATAACCCAGCAATTGCATGTGTGTGCTTGCTAAGTCACTTCATTCGTGTCTGACTCTTTGCGACCCATGGACCATAGGCTACCAGGCTCTTCTGTCTGTGGGATTCTCCAGGTAAGAATAGTGGAGTGGGTTGCCATACCCTCTTCCAGGGGATCTGCCCAACCCAGGGATTGAACCCGAATCTCATGTCTCCTGCATTGGGAGACAGGTTCTTTACCACTAGTGTCACCTGGGAAGCCCTAAAATTGAATGTTTGCATGCCATATCCCAGCATAACCCAACAATTACTTTTCCAGAAATATACCCCAGAGGAACTCTTGTAGATGTGTAAGAATATTCAAACCAACATTGTTCAAATTAGCAAAAACCTGGTGACAGTTTACATGTCCAATGCAGAAGAGTGGATAAATATGCCATGGTCCATTCAGACAATTGAACACTGTATTGCAGTGAAAATGAATGAACCGCAGCTACATGCAACAACATAGATGAATCTTACAAATGTAATGAATAGTCAGGGAAAGCAAATTGCAGAAGACCATATAGCCTGAGATCCTGTTTAAAAATAAAATTCAAAAACAAGGAGAATTATCATAAAGGTAATAAGACAAAAGCAATGAAACTCTGCAAAATTCATGTAGTGGCTATTTCTGAGGGCAGATAAAGAGCAGGGGGAGGAGAGGAGCACATAGGATGTCTTGGTGGTGGTATTCTAGTTCTTGGTTTGAGAGGTGCTTTTATTAGCATTCATCATATTACTAAATAAGCTAGATGACATGAATGAAAGATAAGTGTCAACGCCAAATTGACACATCAAGGTGATTATGAATCTGTAAGTGGAGTGCTGGGGTTGCAGGTGCCCGAGGATGGGTTGTGCCATCAGTACATTCTGAGAATTAACCCTCTGAGTCATAGAATCTGCAGAGATTCCCTCAGGGCCAGGCTTCCATCAGGTTAGGGTGGAGGGGAGCAGACAGCGCTGCCTGAGATTGGGGAAAGGAGGCAGAGACTTTGGGATCAAGGAGGCAGGCATCCTGACTCAATCTCCTAATCTTTCCCTAAAGACAAAACCAGCTGGTAGGGCATCCTTTGAAGGTAGTTTGGACATCCTTGATGAAGAGGCTAGGCTCTGGAGCAGTGGTTCCCAGCCTTTTTGTTACCAGGGACTGGTTTCGTGGAACACAATTTTTCCACAGATCGGGGAGTCAGGGGGAATGGTTTCAGGATGAGTCAAGCACATTACATTTATTGCGCACTTTATTTCTTTTATTATGTCAGCTCCACCTCACATCATCAGGGATTAGATCCCAGAGATGGGGGACCCTTGCTCTAGAGCACTTTGATGCTGCAGGGCTGAGAACAGGGCATTTACAAGCCCCATACCCACCTGCCTACAGGAAAAGGAATCAACACAATAGAGACTTTTAAAAATACTTCTGACTGTGACCATGGTAAGAAACTCATTTTTATATCGTAACCCAATTCACACACACACACACACACACACACCTGTGCATGTACTTATGAGTGTATGTGAAACTGAAGCAGTTCTTGCCCTTGGTGTATATGACACATACTGATAGTTTCATCCTACTTTTTGTCTTCATTTAGTCGTTATCAAACTCAAACTATTACATTCATTTTATAGGCTACTGTGGATTATATCACACAGCTGCTGGGAAGGGGTCAACAGGGCCTCTAGTGGGCCCGGCCTGCCTTTGCCAGAGCAGGCCAGGCCGGGCCCCATTGCATCTGTCCTTGACCTTCCTTCCCTCTCCCCCAGGTCCCCAGTTGGCCAGGCACAAGGGCCCTGAAGGCTGATACCAATTCAGAAACAGAACTTCTCTTTCCCCTTCTGTGCCCCACCCCAGGCTGACCCCTGAACTCACCAAGGAAAGTGGCCGCTATCCTATGCGGGTGAGGAGCCCTTGCTGCCCGGGCAGGAAAGAACCAAAGGTCATGACGGCGGGAAGCCTTGTCAGTTCTGTGGGTAAGCCTGTCGCTTTGTGACTGCATCAGCCAGTGGTTGCTAGGTTACCCCTGCCCTACAACTCCAGAACTACTCCCCAGCACCCCTCTCCTCACCCCCAGCCAGCTCCTCTTACCCTTCCTGGAGGGGCAGAAGGGCTCACCGAGCACCCCCCGCTTGCCTGCCCTCCAGCCTCCTTCTCTCTCTCCCATTCAGCACTTAAATGGGGCCCAAGGGAGAAAATGAGAATCAGGAGCTGGTTGCAGCCAGTGTGCAGCAGGCAGAGAGAGAAAAACTGGCAAAAAGGTTTGGTTGGGCTGGGTGCCAGCTCTGTCGGCAATGATCGGGCTGTCTGCCACTGTGGAGTCTGTCCCCCCGCGCCCTATTTCTAGGGGTTGATTCTCAGAGAGCTAGCTGTCTCTTAGATGGAGAGGAGGTGGCCGCCAACAGGATCCAAAGTCTTCCTGCGGCCCTACTCCAGGCAGGAGAGCTGGGTGGAAGGGCCCTGGGCTGTCAGTGGCAGGGGTCTTGATGGGATTCTGATCCACCCTAGGTGTGCTGCCCGAGGTGTGGGACAGTGGCAAGAATACTTGGTTCCAATTCCAGCTCTGCTTCCTAGCTGTGTGGCCTCAGATAATTTACCTGATGTCTCTGAGCCTCAGTTCTTATGTCTCTGAAATGGGAGAATCCTCATGCTCATTCTCATGGGATTTTTGAGATTGCCTAATGTAAAGCCTTTGACTGTGTGGATCCCAACAAACTGGAAAATTGTTAAAGAGATAGGAATACCAGACCACCTGAACTGCCTCCTGAGAAATCTGTGTGAAGATCAAGAAGCAACAGTTAGAACTGGACATGAAACAACAGACTGGTCCCAAATTGGGAAAGGGGTACATCAAGGCTGTATAATTGTCACCCTGCTTATTTAACTTATAGGCAGAGTACATCATGAGAAATGCTGGACTGGATGAAGCACAAGGTGGAATCAAGATTGCCAGAAGAAATATCAATAACTCAGATATGCAGATGATACCACCTTTATGGCAGAAAGTAAATAATAACTAAAGAACCTCTTGATGAAAGTGAAAGAGGAGAGTGAAAAAGTTGGCTTAAAACTCAACATTTAGAAAACTAAGATCATGGCATCTGGTCCCATCACTTCATGGCAAATAGATGGGGAAACAGTGGAAACAGTGACAGACTTTATTTTTCTGGGCTCCAAAATCACTGCAGATGGTGACTGCAGTCATGAAATTAAAAGACACTTGCTCCTTAGAAGAAAAGCTATGACCAACCTAGATAGCATATTAAAAAGCAGAGACATTGCCTTCCCAACAAAGGTCCATCTAGTCAAAGCTATGGTTTTCCCAGTAGTTATGTATGGATGTGAGAGTTGGACTATAAAGAAAGCTTAGCACTGAAGAATTGATGCTTTTGAGCTGTGGTGTTGGAGAAGACTCTTGAGAGTCCCTTGGACTGCAAGGAGATCCAGCCAGTCCATCCTAAAGGAAATCAGTCCTGAATGTTCACTGGAAGGACTGATGCTGAAGCTGAAACTCCAATACTCTGGTCATCTGATGTGAAGAACCAACCCATTTGAAAAGACCCTGATGCTGGGAAAGATTGAAGGCAGGAGGAGAAGGGGATGACAGAGAATGAGATGGTTGAATGGTATCACCGACTCAATGGACATGAGTTTGAGTAAGCTCCGGGAGTTGGTGATGGACAGGGAAGCCTGGAGTGCTGCAGTCCATGGGGTCGCAGATTTGGACACAACTGAGCGACAGAACTGAACTGAATGCAATGCACATGGAAGTGTTTAGAGTAGTCCCTGGCACCAGATGTGATCTCCTATGTTATTACCCTCTCGGAGCCTGTAAAATGGGGTGTCCTGACCTAATTCTCAGGTCATTCTGAAGGACAAATGAGCTGATAGAAGCGAAGCACCTCATCAGATGCCTGGTGCACAAGGAAGGAAGGAAGGAAGGAAGGAAGGAAGGAAAGTCACTCAGTTGTGTCCGACTCTTTGCGACCCCATGGACTGTAGCCCACCAGGCTCCTCCCATGGGATTCTCCAGGCAAGGGTACTGAGATGCTCACAAATGGTAATAATACTAATCACTACTCTTATTGGTATATATATATTTTTAATCGATCTATTACTGGTATCTTGATGGAGGGGGATGGGATGGGTCCTGAGCCTGAGAACTACTGCGGGCAGTTTACTTTTTTTCTTTGAGACTCTGCTGGAAAAGGGGCTCAGGATAATCGTTTGTCCACAGGACTGAGGTGAGATCAGAGGCCGCAAGGGATGTAAACAGGCTCTGTAAATGGAAGAGTCTGCAGACGGCGCTTGGTGCTATCCAAGGAGTGAAGCTGCTGGCCCTCAAAATGGATGGGTGTGGGCCTGTTGGAGGGTCTTTCTTCTCAGCCTCCCTGGCTTCTTATCAGTGGCCCGAGGCTTCTAGACTCTGTGTCCTCTGCTGGGGAGAAGAGCAGGAAGGGGGATAGCTAGAGGCAAACACAAGTCCTTTAAAAGTTCTGCCCATCCCCTCTGGGGAGTGGTGACTCAAGCCACTGCAGTGACCCATTTTGGGGTGGCCTCTGAACTTGACCTTGCCTCTAGGGCTTTTAGGCTCTGGCTTCTCCTGGGCTTGTCTCTAGAAGAATGAGGTGACTCCTTTGAAACCATTCTGAAAGCCCCCTCTTGCATGCTTCTGGGAATCCTGGTGGCTACAAGGATAAATGAGACTGTATTTGAAAGAAGAGAGGGCTTCTTCCCTCCTGCCAGCCCCTCCACACTGCTTTCAGCTCACCTGGGGGATTTCCCACAATGTGGCCTGAATCAGTCAAGAATGAAACCCACTCATCCTCCCGTTGCACTTCTTCTCCCTACCAC